GATCTTCGTCGCACTAGACAGAGGAACGCAGCCGTCTATGGCAGGAAAGCTGCCAGCTTGGCCCCCAAAGGCCACATGCGAACCAAGGAACAGGTTAACATGACAATCAAGTTGGTCTGGCAAGACCCACAACTCTGAACCCTGAGCTTCCCCTCCTCCTTCTTCCCCTTGCGTCCCCCTTCCAGCTCCCTCCTCCCAGGTTACCCCCTCACCTCTTCCACCCTCTCTCTTCCCCTCTCCCACCTCCTTTTCCCAGTCTCCCCAGAGGTTCATTCCCCTCCCCCCCAGTTTTGTTCAATAAACCCAGTTTCTATTTTTGAACATACGTGTCCTTTATTTGACATCAGGAAGGGGGGCTAGGGAGGGGTAAGTGGAAGGACGTGAGGGAGGAATGGGGCACGAGCCCCTGGTGGGGAGGACTGGAGAGGCTCTGAGAGCTCCTCGGGGTGGATGCTCTCCCTCAGGGCCTCTTGGATCCTGACAGCCCCCCAATGGACCCCTGGATGGCAGCCTGCAGCAAGTGCAGCCGGGCTGATGGCAATGTCCCCACAAGACACACCAGTGTGCCCTGGGGCAGCTCTGGCTCCATCTGGCTGAGTGCTGTGATGTGCCAAGTGTGGGCACTCAGGGCACTCCAAGACAGGACTGCTTTGCTGTCCCTCATCGAGGTAGACAAGCAAGCGGGGAACCCTGAGAACTGTCTGTCCGGGGTGGGTGTAGGGTCCCTTTAAGCATGGAGCTCAGCTAGCCTCAGGCAGCAGCCCCACACACTAGGTCCTAACCTGATGCCCTGCCAGCACTGGCTCCGGCCAGCCTTAACTTCAGTTCAGGGTCCACTCAGTGTGGACTTGCTATTTCGAAATAGCAAAACTCTATTTCAAAATGCATTTTATGTGTAGACGCGTTATTTTGAAATAACTTATTTCAAATTAACTATTTCAAAATAAGATATTTCAAAATAATGCTATAGTGTAGACATACCCTATGGCATTGAGACACACAAACACCAACCATCTCAATGCCATTTGAATCACTTTGCCTCCCTTTGGGTAGAGCTGCATTTGAGAGCATTAACATCTGTAAGATGTTGCTTGATGATGCTATAGAAGGACAAAGACATTCTTGCCTTATTCCAGTGACTTCTTTTTCATTTTATTCATTATTAATTCACTTTTCGTTGCCACTGGACTTTCCCCTGAGATGTTGTTCCCAGATGAGATGAAACAAAGTACTGCACATTCGATACATAATTACTATCTTACAGGAGCTACAGGCCTGATCTAAAATCCTTTGAAATCCAGGAAAAAGGCTTCCCTTGACTTCAGTAGCTTTTGGATCAGTCCTTATAAAACTGAGGAAGCTTGGGGAAGTGCCAAGAGAAATTTATACAAAGGAGTTAGGATTAAATTTACATTAATTGGCGTGCACTAAAAATAAACTGCACAAAAGCAGTTGTGAACTAGGTTTGCTCGAAGCACTCTCAATCCCACTTTATATGTTATGCCTTTGTAAGATCTGTAATCAGTTTTATCTCTGTTGTTATCTTCGTAAGTACCCACCTAAGAGCTTTATACATAATGTGCTGAGAGAGAGCCAGCTGGCACTGGCTTCAGTGTGTAAGCAATGTCTACTCAGTGTGGTATTCAGCTCACTGCAGAATTGGAAGCCAGGTTAGAAGATGGGATGATGTGAAATGTTGCGATTGATGGTAGCTGGGGAGGACAAGTGATGAAAAGTTAAACATAAAAGTTTATATATATCACACTGTGGTAGGTTAATGATAGATTTGGTATATAAAAGATAGGGTTAAGTTATTGATATTGGGCCGGTTCTCAGCTAATGTAAACTGGCATAGCTCCGTAGTCCCATTCAGTCCAATAGAAGAGCTGATCCACTGTGTGTTGTATAGTGTCACAAGAGTAAACAAAATGCTAACCCCCAGGAACCAGCTCATAAAATCTAGCCATCACACAGCCAGCATCAATATAAAATGCTCCTCAATATTTTTCATTGGCCTGGATGAACAATTTCTCACTCTCTGCACACCAGGGCTGTGCTTTGTATTCATGTCCAAACTCAGCCAGATTTTCTGCCTGTCCCTCAGCGTTTCCAGGAAAGAAATCATGTGTAAGCATGGATAGAATACAAAGCTGAGAACAAGCTGGAAGAACGTGTTTTTTGCTCAGAAAAATCTATGTCTTTCCAGCACCCGGCAGAGCTTCCCTCTGTCCCTCCCTAAACTAAAACAAGCTGTGGGTCAAATTCTGAAATCTTTATTTTATTCTCAGCCTTCAGTCTGGCAAAACTCCCTTTGGAAACAAGGGTATGTCTACACTAGCCCCCTAGTTCGAACTAGGGAGGCTAATGTAGGCATTCGAAGTTGCAAATGAAGCCCGAGATTTAAATATCCCGGTCTTCATTTGCATCTTCCCGGGCGCCGCCATTTTTAAATCCCCCTTAGTCCAAACTCCGTACCCGCAGCTACATGCGGCACGGAGTAGGTAGTTCGAATTAGGATCTCTAATTCGAACTACTGTTACTCCGCATGAAATGAGGTGTACCGGTAGTTCGAATTAGAGATCCTAATTCGAACTACCTACTCTGTGCCACATGTAGCCGTGGGCATGGAGTTCGGACTAAGGGGGATTTAAAAATGGCGGCGCCCGGGAAGATGCAAATGAAGACCGGGATATTTAAATCTCGGGCTTCATTTGCAACTTCGAATGCCTACATTAGCCTCCCTAGTTCGAACTAGGGGGCTAGTGTAGACATACCCCAATGGAGTAACAAGTAAGGACCTAAGTATCTATTACCATTAGAGATCTTAAGGTTTAACAGGTTAACCAGTCAACCGGTAGGCATTTCTTTACTGGCATGCTTACTGAGGTAACCGGTTAACTGGCTTCACCATGCCTAGCTGCAGGCAGGGAGCACTCCAGCCAAGCCAGGCCCACCATGCTGCAGGTGGGGGGCTGCTCCAGTGCCCACCCAGTTACGGTGCGGCAAGAGGTTAACCGGTTAAAGGTTAACAATTTACACAGGATTTTACATCCCTAAGCGGTATGCTAGATCCATATTTAGTAGGCTTTGCAGACTTCTCTCCCCCATAATCTCTCTCCAAAGTCTTTTGCCTTCCTCATTTCCTCTCATGTCCTGTCTCCTCTCTTGTCTGTCTTTGTGAGCCATCTCTCTGCACTGCTTTCTGGTCAGCCATAGGGCATGCTAGGGATTGAGTGAAACTCTGCCGTTTCTTTCTTCCCATGCTCATAGCTGCAGAGGATAGAGTTGAGAGATATTGTTTCCTCCATGATTGACTGGGGTTACCTGCGATGGACGAAGATTCAGTGAAATATAAAGAGTTAATAATGACAGAATGTTGGTCTGTGGTTAAATCATCTGCAGCTGAGCAGGCACCTAACTGAGAAGCAAACTATCATGGCACATTGCTGGGATATAAGGGCTATTGTGGGTGAATTCTGAACTCAGAATGTTACTTATCTGTGCTGCAGTGTTTGTTATACTGGGCTGAGCAAAAGCATGTGTGTATTTCCCGGGAAAGCCATAGAACATGGGCATCCTTTAAGAAGGTAAGTCTCAAAGGGCACATTTACACAGCAGGGGAAAAGTGTGACAGCAAGTCTCAGAGCTGAGATCAAATGATTCAGGCTTGTGGGGCTCATGCTGTGGGGTTAAACAGAGCAGTGTGGTTAGTTGGGCTCCAAGATCCTCCCTCCTCACTGGGTTCCAGAGCCTCAGCTCTAGTCCAACTCTGAATGTCTCCACTGCTACTTTTATCCTCATCACCGCACCAGTCCTGCAAGCCCAAGTCAGCTGACGGGGGCCAGCCACAGCTGTGCCATGGGTCATTTATCCTGTGTCTATATCCCCGAGACACTTCGCTGAGGGTCTTTTTTGCTATGTACATGTACCCTGATTGGCTTATCTATCTCCAAGCTCATGAGGTCTGGACCGAGTGACTAGGAATTTGGTTATTTCTAAAAAGGTACTAACAATACAGAGTTTAATTATGCTCATGCATGTCCTTCATGAGTTTTTAAAATTATCCATGTCCTAAAAAGAAAACCACAGATTTGCAAGCTCTGGCAACACAGCTACGATCAGCCCACAGTCATAAGCCATGGCTGTCTTGGTCCCCCCTAAAGCTTGTACACGTGGCACGGCATTCTTTGGGGATGATGGCCAGGTGCTGGAATTTGAATTCCTATAGCCCAGATGCTCAGGCACAAGCTCTTTTTAGCTGGAGAGAGTATGTAATATACCAGCTGGTGTGACTGTGAGCTTCAGTACTGTCGTCTGGATGGAAGGGCAGATCTAATCAGCTGTCTATGGCTATTTTCTGTCTACAGAGGGCGTAAGACCTAACCTTAGTGCGGCTAACAGAGGCCTTGTTTATACTGAGAGATAAGGTTGAATTTATGAAGGTAAATTTTTTAGCACACAACTTTGTAAAGTCGAAGGTGCATATCTCCGCTGCGCATAAGAATTCCACACAGTTTGAAGTAGCACGTCCCCAGTAGGGTGGCTACCATCAACTCTGAGAACGATGCACTGTGGATAGCTATGCACAGTTTTTAAATCAGCTCCCACCACAGACTGGCTCCCCCCCCCCCCCCC